CTGAGGTAACAGCTGTACGAGCCAAAAGTAAGTGAATTTTTAATTTTTTTTTCGATTTTCTCATAAAATCCAGTGCAGCTGAGGTCCTGTTGATGCGTACTATAATTTAAGTAATAATACTTTTGCAATCCGTACATCCAATACAGAGATTTTTCACCGAATAGGAATGTGGTAAAACAGGGAGCTTTAGCATCGCCTTAAAAGAGGATAAAAATAATTTAAGTCATATTACTTATAACACATTATATTTCCCATCTTTGGATTATAATATTGTTAAATGAGTACTAAAAGAGTAGAACTATTATTGAAATCTTTCATATCACAGTTAACAGATGTATTACTTTCATTTTATATATATCTTGAAAATATAATAATAAAAATAAACACATGGTACAAACTAAAAATAAAGATCTCTCTATGTAATTAACAAGAAATATTGAATCTTAAGAGATTTTTAAGCGAAAATTCTTAAGAGAGAAAAAATGAAAATATTTATTTCTCTGTTATAATCTATAAAGTATAATAAAATAGATATTAAGCTTTTATGAGTATTTTTAAATAAATATCACGAAGTAGAAATGTTACTTATTTAAGAATTGTGTAAGAGCATTAACCAATTTTGTCTCTAAATGCATTCTTTCATCGTGACGTTTCTGTTTTTTATGTTCATGTTCCTGTTTTTGTGTCAATCTCTCTTCAAAAAAATTTGTTATTGATCTCTTGGTTTTTATATCTGAAAAAAATGAAATATTTAACATCTAAATAGAATACAGAATTGAAATAAGTGTAATTGGACTGAACTAAAGTCATTCGGATTTTATTAAAAAGCAAAATCCAAACAATTTGGTCAACTCAAAACGTTTAAAAAATTGTATGTCAATTACAAACTATATATAAACAGTTAATTTCTTTACAAGAAACATTTATATATATACAAATTCTTGTTTAATTAAAATATATATTCAAAATCACACACACACACACACACACGCGCACGCACGCACGCAAGCACCCACACACACACATTATATATTTATCAATATTTGACATACTCTTTTTAGGAATATTATTTTCCTTGTCAGGCCGAGAATCATCTTCAGAAAAATTTGAGCAAGTTGGAGAACATTCTTCTGCATCAATATTTTTAATTAATTAATCAGTAGATGAAGTAAGTGCTACTGGTCTATGGTACACCAGGCTTTTTTCGAGAACATGTTATCCTTAATCTGAAGTACAAAATTATGTATATTTGTGAAAAAATTTATTAAAATTTACTATTTATAATTCCAGATAGGATTTATATAAGGTGCGTTCCAACAAGCAACACAGTGTGACACAATGATCATGTCATCTTTGTTTAACATTGGCAAACAACAAAAATATAATGATCCATTGTGTCACACCGTGTCATTTGTGTCGCTTGTTGGAAGGCACACATAATTATCTACTGATGCACACACACACACACACACACACACACACACACACACA